CTGCTGCTGCTGCTGCTGCTGCTGCTGCTGCTGCTGCTGCTGCTGCTGCTGCTGCTGCTGCTGCTGCTCCTGCTGCTCCTGCTCCTGCTCCTGCTCCTGCTCCTGCTGCTGCTGCTGCTGCTGCTGCTGCTGCTGCTGCTCCTGCTCCTGCTGCTCCTGCTCCTGCTGCTGCTGTTTAAACCATTTTTTTAGTTTATAAAATCCATTTTTTGATTGTTTGTGGTGACAAGTCAATTCAGCTCAACGAAGTCCATTAAACCCATTTAATTTAATTAATTTAATTAATTCAATTAATTTAATTTAATTTAATTTAATTAATTTAATTAATTTAATTCATTTAATTAATTTAATTTACTTCTGTTTGTTTGCAGAGTCTGAGACTGAAGTTTCCGTGGGCGATGTTTGCGCCTTCGAATTTTGTTTTTTGAAGTTGGGGTGTACGTACACCTCAGATTTGTCTTTTTCCTCTTCTTTTCTTTTTTTTCTTTTCTTTTTATTTTACTTTATTTTATTTTTATTTTATTTTCTTTTCTTTCTTCTTTTTAGTTTTTTCTTTCTTTTTTCTTTTTCTTTGTTTGCAAAAAATGGCAAAACGACTTCTCTTCCATTAGTCGGTCTTCAGTTGTTTGCTGTGCCTCTCCATCTATTATTTGTTTAATTATTTAATTGTTTATTAAATTATTTATTTATTTATTCATTTATTTATTTATTTATTTGTTTATTTATTATTTATTTTGCTTTCGCAGCTCTTTTGTCTCTTTTGTCTTTTATTTGTTTCCCCTTTTCTTCTTTTCCCGATTTGCAATTTCAGTTAAGTGCTTTTGCAAAACAACTGCTGCTGCTTCTTGCGCCCTTTTTCCTGAAGCAAAGTCTCAAACCCTAAATTAGGGTTTAGGGTTTAGGCCAGAAACTCCGTAGATGCAGGCACAGTGCCTGCAGTCCCAATCATTTTTGGCTGTCAAACTGTCGCTAGCTAGCTAATAAGTTAGTTGGCTAGCTAGCTAGCTAGCTACCTAGCTAGCCGGCTAGCTAATTCGCTAGCTAGCTAACTGGCAAGCTAATTAACGGGGCAGCTAACTAGCTGGCTAGCTAGCCAGCTAGTAACGTAGCTAACTAGCTAGCTAGCTAGCTAGCTAGCGAACAAACGAGCTGACCAACTAGCTAGCCAGCCATCTAGACAGCCATCTAACTAGCTAGTTAACGGGCTAGCTAACTAGACAGCTAGCTGACTAGCTAGCTAGCTAGCTAATCAGCTAGCCAGCTAACAATTCGAGTACCTAGTTAGCTAGTTAGCTAGCTAGTTAGCTAGTTAGCTAGCTAGTTAGCTAGCTAGTTAGCTAGCTAGTTAGCTAGCTAGCTAGCTAGCTAGCTAACGAATCGACTAACTAGCTGGCTAGCTAGCTAGCTAGCTGGCTAGCTAGTTGATGCTGAGTCCCCCACGAGAGGGAGCAAGGAGAAAGAAAAGAGGTTTTGGAAAGAACAAAAAAATGGAAAGCAAAAAGTGCTGCCGCGCTGCAGCTTGAGGTGTACGTACACCGCAAGAGCGCAGCGAGGCGCAGGCCCTGATTTGGGGTGTACGTACACCCCAAAAGTGGGGAAGAAAGAACTGCAAAGGCGCCCAGCGAGGCCCCGGGTGTACGTACACCCCAGAGTTCCCGGCGCATTTGCTGGGGGCTCTTTTCTGCACATTGGGGTGTACGTACACTTCAAGAGCCCGCGGCGCGCGCGTGGGTACTTCGTGGGGTGTACATACACCTGAAGATGCCGGTTTTTTGGAGTGTACGTACACCTCAACACCCGGCTTTCCGGGTGTACGTACAGCTGAAGATCCCGGTTTTTGAGGTGTACATACACCTGAAGATCCCGGTATGTTGGGGTGTACATGCAGCTGAAGATCCCGGAAT